GTGCGTGCGTGCGTGCGTGCGTGCACAGCTGAAGTGAAGCAACATTAGAAGTTCCTGAGTCCATCTTTACTGTGACTAACACGTGTGAATGAGAAGTTTTCTAACATTAAGCAAAAAAAATTAATAAATAGAAAATGTTTCGGTTCCATTGTCCTGATTTAAAGTATCTCTACCTGCACCCTCACAGAAGATTCTAATAGAAAAAACAGAAAAGCAGAAATAAGAGAATGAGGAAGCTGGTGGGGGTGTGCTCAGGGTGGTGGTCCAAGGATGTGAAGGAGGGAGGTCACATATCAACTCTCTGTAAAGCCCACATTTTCATGTTGATGTTCTGAACCATCACCAGATGTGGGAGAATTTCTTGTTAGAAAACATGGTCAGTGTTTTCTTTAGCAAGGCCAAACACATGACTCAAAGAGAAACAGACGACCAACAAAAAATGGGTCAAAAAGCTGCAGAACACAAAAATCTTTTAACGTGTCATGTTTACACATAAATGTTGGTGTAATCATCCAGACAGGCTGAGAAGAACCAAGTTTTACTGAGATGATCAGAAAAGCAGCTTGTTGGGAGTAAACGTATTAAAGAACAAAGCAAGTGTTCACAAAATAGAATCCAGTTTCTTTCTGGAATCAAAGTGTTTTTTTTTTTAGAATAAGCTTCAGTCCAGACACATTGAGAATRCTGAAAAGTTTCTATTGTAAACAGATCCAACTATAAAAAGCCTGGCAGTTAAACTAAAGGATGCTAAACTTCAAGTGCCAACCGTATTTCAAAATAGAAGCAGGAAGTCTATTCCAGCAGGGGACAAAATACAAGAACGGGCAGCGAAGAGCGGGCTTTACAGACAAACCAGACAAAGGAGTCTGAGTGTGAAAATGTAAGACGTCAGGAAAACCAGAAGAAAAGAAAAGAAAAGAGACACAATAAACCAAGAAGCCACACAAAAGCCTGTTTTGTCACACTCAGACAATCAGGACCGAGCCTTTTATGTCACTGAACTTTCCTACAAAACACATTCAGGATTATTTTAGCATCTTGTTGCCAGATGAAAATGTATCTACGGGTGACAATTTATCAGCTCTACTTTCAAACTGGGTGTTAATGCAGCAAGAGAATGCAACATGTTATTGTTTTCAATTTTATAAAGCTTTAGAAAAAGATGTTCAGTCGCTTAAATAAAGTGTGCACACATTTATCTATTCAAATTAAGCAGAACTCAAGTCATCGTTTTGTATATTATTGTCAAGTAGGGATGGGTACCGAATTCGATACCTTTTTAAGTTTTATTTTATTATTATTATTTTTTATTTACTGTTATTTTACCAGGCAAGTCCCATTGAGATATCAGATCTCTTTTTCAAGGGTGGCCTGGGCCTGAAGGCAACCTATTGTACGTTTTTGGGGCGCGGGGGAAACCGGAGAACTCAGAGAAAACCCACGCAAGCACGAGGAGAACATGCAAACTCCGCACAGAAAGACCCCAGATCCGAACCGGGGATCGAACCCAAGACCTTCTTGCTGTGGGGCGTCAGTGTTAACCACTGAGCCGTCATGCTGCCGGCATGACCGCTCTGAGTACAGACCACATTTAAGTACCGACCGAATTCTGTCGGTACTACTGAGAACCTATTCACGGTACCATGTTTCGGTACCTAAACGCATCATTGCGACCGTATTGGCGCAAGAGTGGTGAGTTTTCCATGCTTGTCCTGAACGCAGCATCGCGCAAGAGCTTAATGATGTCAACAGCCGCTGATTCAGTAAACAGTTCAGTCTGAGCCTAGCTTGAAAGCCTCGCAGCTCCTGGAGTAAAACTCACCAAACAGACCGCCTTTGAAWTATCTGGTGGATTAATTATCTTGTGAGCACGACGTTCACTTGCTTAAAGTAAATAAAGTACCGCCACTTTCTTTATTTCATCCACCGTTAAACAGRGACGGACAGAGGAAAACAACAGAGGCACTTCCTGACAGTCTGAACACGTCTGACCTGAAAGAGCACAAGTAGTCAGCTTGAAGCGTTGGGCGTGTTTTGGATGTTCAAATCGTAGCTTGAATACCTTTTATTTATTTTAATTCAATCCTCTTTTGCTTATTATGACCCCCGCATGCGAAGCGTAAACAGGAGTCTTGTTGTTTTCGTACTGTTATTTTTTTCAGTGATTTTTGGTCAACCGTAACACAAAAATGGATGCACCAATCCATCCATCCATCCATCCATCCATCCATCCATTTTCTTCTGCCTATCTGGGGTCGGGTCGTGGGGGCAGCAGCTTCAGAAGGGAGGCCCAGACCTCCCTCTCCCCAGCCATTTCTTCCAGCTCCTCCAGGGGAACTCCAAGGGGTTCCCAGGCCAGCCGAGAGACATAGTCCCTCCAGCGTGTCCTGGGTCTTTCTCGGGGCCTCCTCCCGGTGGGATGTGCCCGGAACACCTCACCAGGGAGGCGTCCAGGAGGCATCTTTACCAGATGCCCGAGCCACCTCAACTGGCTCCTCTCRACGTGGAGGAGCAGCGGCTCTACTCTGAGTCCCTCCCGGATGACCGAGCTTCTCACCCTATCTCTAAGGGAGAGCCCAGCCACCCTGCGGA